AAAAAGGCTGAAAGCAGGGAGAGATGGGTGAGGGCCAGATCATGCAGGCTCTTGGAAGTCACAAAAATAATTAAAAATAGTGATAAAAAATAATATAATAATCGTTATTATTACTGCTGCTATAAATAAGGGGCCATTTTCCAAAACACCAAGCTTTTCTAACTTAAGAAACACCATGCTACCCCTCTCCTACTGTTTTTCCACCGTTCTCCAATTTGTCATCCTGCTGGAGTGGAAACCGCCAATTCCATTTTTGGTCCACGGCTATAAAAAGAACGTTGGAGCTGGTGGTGCCGATGACCCAACATGGGGGCTAAGATTAGCCCAGGAGGCTGTCACCTTTCCTTAATGTGAGAACCAGCTGGGGTTCCCCGTCCTTGGAAGACTTCAGCTGTTCCACTCCACCCCGCCCTGCAGCGCCCTTGCCGGCCAAGCTGTCCATGGAAACGGGAACGGGGATGCGTTTTGGAAAAAAGGAGTTGAGCAACAGGGATTCCCCCTGAAGGAGGAGGCCCTGGGCTGGGAGGCGAGTTCTTGGGGTCAAAAGAGCAAGACCAGCTCCCTGCAAAGGCCAGGCAAGCCCCCTGCCTGTCAGAGCCAGAGGGAGACAGGCATCACACCAAGGGGGGCTGCCACGTCTTGGGGGCGTTCAGAGGCATCTCAGATACCCTCGCTTTTCTGCTGGCACCAATCCAGGAACCACTCCCCCGGGTTTCTTTAGTTATACACAAGCAAGGGTTCAAACTGTGTCCTGTCGGCCCCAGTGACCCACTACAGAAGTCAAGGCTCTATCTGACCACAAAATGGATCAAGCCAGTGGTTCAGAGCAGCTGAAAGGTCTTCAGCCAATTAACCTGGTTGTAAGCTTTTTCAGAGTCAGGCTGCCTCGGATCCAACTCAGCACTGCCACTTACGCAGCTGTGTGATCTTCACTCAGTTACTTAACCTCTCTGTGCTCAGTTTCTCATCAGTAAAATTGGGAGAACAGTATGCATCTATCTTGTAGGGCTGTCATGCGGAATCAGATTAGTTAATACATATAAAGTGCTTAGGACAAGGCCTGCCACATAGTTTATTATTATTACTTACTGCTGTTTTTCAATGTTTCTTGGTTCCATGAGATAAAATCTTACTCCTCTGTCCTTCCACAGACTGAATATCATAATACTAATAGAAGCTAACATGTAATGAGCATCTAAAACGCGCCAAGCTCTTTGCAAAGGACCTAATCTGTATGATCTCATTTAATCTTCTCATCTCTCAAGAGGAGTAAATCATCTCCATCTTACACAAGAGGACATGTTGGCTCAGAGAGGTGAAATGACTTACCCAGGATAACAAAGCTGCTAAATGCAGATCATGGATTCGAACCCAGGCCATCTGACCTCAGAGCCTGTGCCTGCAACCGCCAGCGCACACAGCCTCCCCAAAGCTCGCCCAGCGCAGGCCAGTCCTGGGGGGCAGAGTGTATCACAGACACGATGTGCATGGCCTGAGCTACGACAGTGCTGGAGAGACAGTACAAATAGTAACAGACATTCAATGAGCGCTCCCTATGCACTAAGCGCCCAGTGCTCATTTATGCATTTTTAACTCTAGGATGGAAGGACTGCATTTGACAGAGATGGAAATGGAGGCATAAGGAAGCTGAACAACAGAACGAGGCTGGATATGACCTCAGGTGGGCCCCCTGACTTCTCCAAACTTAGCCGTCTGCCTCCTCCCATGAGGAGGAGGCGATAGAGGAAACCATAGGCAGAAAGTGGCAGGCAAAAGGCCCGCCCACAGACCGGTTCAAGTACAGGGAGCTGTTATTACCATTCTCCTTATCAACACACAACTTTTCAAAGTTGAAACAGGCTCTGAGTTTTCCTCCTGTTAAGAGGCAAACTGTGGAACTGAATAAATGAGCAAAGTAAACAGAAAAAGTCTCAGAGATACAGAGGAAAAACTGATGGTTGCTAGATGGGAGGGGGTGGGGATGAGGGAGAAGGGGAAGGGATTAGACAGCATAAATACGTAACTACAATATTGCCACAGGGATAGGAAAGACAGTTTGGGGACTATAATCAATAATGCTGTAAATATTTTGTAGGGTGTCAGATGGTCACATGAATTGTTAGGGAGACCACTTCATGGATGGGGTAGAGGCTTGATCACTGCACTGTACACCTGAAGCTGACATTGAATAATATTGTATGTCAACTATTATATATATATATATATATATATAGAGAGAGAGAGAGAGAGAGAGAGAGAGAGAGAGAGAGAGAGAGTCACGGGATGTGGAGGAGTACAGTGTGGGGAGTGGTCAATGGACTTGTAATAGATATATATGATATCGGGGAGGGAGAGGCGTGGATTAGGGGAAAGGGTTGTCACTTTGTGAGGGGTGAAAAGGATAACTATTGCACTCTGCAGTACACCTAAAACTAATAAAAAATAAAAAAAAGAGGCCAACTGTAGAATTTCTTCCAAAACCAAGAGAAGAAAAGCTAGAAAGTAAATGCCATTCATTCTTCATTCATTCACTCATTCATTCAGCAAACACTTAATGGATGCCCTTGATTAGCTTCAGAGAATGTGAGCTCCCTGGACAACTAAAAGCTGACTGGCTCCTAACTCCATGGGAGTGAGGTAGGACTTGGCCTCCAGAGCCATCCCTACACAGTTCCATTGGCCCCCAATGACCACTGCCAACCTAGTCATGGATAACAAGACTTCTATATATTTTAGCATTTTCCCTCTGCTAATAAGGTGTTTTGAAGCCATACAGTTCTTCAAGTCAGCAGAAGGCCAGCAGGATGGTTTCCTCGTACAGAAGCTGCATCAAAACTGGAGAGGCCAATGCTTACTTGGTCATTTACATTTCATGCTACTCTCCTGCTCAAGAGCCCATCATGACTCCCTGTTACTGTATCCATGTGCGACCAAACCAAGGCCATGCCTCTGCCTGGAACTGGGAGACCTCTCTGTTCTGGCCACCTCCTGCTCATCAAAGCATTTCCAAGTGTTAACCAATCTCTACTTCAGCCAGGTTGGTCTGCTCTCTGACTCACCAGAGCCTCACAGATTCTGCCTGTAGGCAATATTTTACATTGTCCCACCACCTTAGAAATAAGCCTTCCCCAAGATACCTAAAAACGTGTATGCCCCCTGGAATCCACTATATAAATAGCATTAGTGAACATATATTGAGCACTTATTATATACCAAGCATTTTATGACTAACTTAACATGTATGAGCTCTTAATTTCATGGACTGTCAACCTCATTATACAGATGAGAAAATTGTTGCCCAGAAAAGATAACTTGCCCAAGACTGGGAGTTCCTGCCCAGCTAACAAAACGAGTGTACAAGTTGTTCATCGCTGAGTTACTTGTAACAGCACAGAGTTGGAAGCAGCCTAATGCCCAATAAAAGCAGAATGGTTACGTAAAGTACTGGACAACCATCTGATAGAACGCAATGTATCTATTTAAAAGTCTGTGTTATTACACCACCACTGCCCCTCAAACCCACCGTGACCAGCCACATGCCTCTAAAGCACTCCCAAACCCATCCATCCATCTCCAGGCCCCACTACCATGGCTTTACTTAATGCCTTTTTCAATTCTGCCTTCTATTGTGCTTTCAAAGTTGGATAAAGCAGTTCCCACATCCTGGTCACAGGACTTATCCCAAGAGGAGGCTTTGTGTGAACTGGAAAGAAGCATCCCTTCCCCCAGACATTCTGCCTCCACCTGTCAGCAACAGATACAGATCGATGATGTATCCAATTTGAATGGCAGCTCCCACAGGAGGCCCTTGTGCAGTGCACAACCCCTACAACTGGACAACATGCCTGTTATATTCTTGGGATCATCCTAAGGGCAAGCAACAGAGACAAACATCAAAACTCTTTGAATTAACCTACTGAAATCATATTTATTAGGGAAAAAAAACTAGGTCTAGCATCCTTAACTATCAAATAATTGCATAACCTGATATTTTTCTGACTTTTGGTCATTTTCTCTCTACCACATCCTTATGGGCAAAACACATTGCTAGACCATGCCTGAAGGAAAGAATACACATGGCCAATAAACAAAAACATTAACCCTCTCAGGGCAAAGGAGTATAAAATAAAAAGAAGCACCAATGCAGCAAATCTTTTTCATTAAAAAAAAAAAAGGCACTTCTGGGGAGGGTGAAACCATTACAGACACGGTATTGGTGGAAGTTTCAATTTGTAGAGTGATTTAGGTAATTTAGCCATCTGTATTTAAAACCCTCGAAATGACTATCCAATATTCCACTGCTAGGAAGAAACCCTAAGTCAACAAAAAAGATACACATAGAGGTTCGTGTATAAAAGATTAATGAACCCTAAACATATGAGAAGACTAATCACAACACTATTGATAATAAATATATAAGTAGCCAATGTTTATTGGCATACAAGATACCTGGTGCTGTTACAATTACTTGACATGTAGCAGCTCATTTAACCTTGTGACAACCCTCTTGTTGTTATCGTTCTGTATATAAGGAAATGGAGGCATAGGAAAGGTAGGTAATTGGCCTAAGATCTATCTCAGAGCAAGCAAGTAGCAGAGCCAGCTGTGAACCCAGGATATCCAGGCCCAGAGCAGGCATGCTTAATCACCGTGCTGTTTGACTCCCTTCTTGACAACAGTAAAAAGTTGAAAACGTTTGCCTCTCTAGGTGTAAAAAAATAATTTAAAAAAAGAGTTGGGGGTGGGGTCCAACCTCATCACCCAGTGAAACAACCCGGCACCAGCTCAAACACATCATGGTACATTCCCACAATGATGAACTGTGTTGACATCAAAATCTCTAGAGACCTGGGAAACTTGTCACTACAGTGAGGACAAAGGGGCAGAACACAAAACTCTACACAAGAGGGTCTACCCCGAAATCAACGCTGCTTGGAACAAAAAGATGGTGGCGTTTGTAGGGCACCGGTGGACACAAAAGAGCTCAAAGGGCCCCTGACCTGTGGTCTTCTCCGTGAACACGACTTTGGACTCGGCCGTGAAGTTCTGTCCCGTGAGAATCATCTGCTGGCCCCCGTAGACCAGGCAGCTGTCGACATCTTGTCTCTCCACCATGGGCAGCTCGTGGGCGGATCGCTGGGCTGTGGGTAAGAGGACAAGAAGCCACTGTGAGGACGCTCAAAAGAGGCTTTCTGATTTCACGGGGACGAGATAGTTACACGCTCTGCCCACCTTTGTCATCTGTTGCCATCGCAAAAGGTGGAACCATCGCCCCTGACAACCTGACTCTGCAAATGTTATATTCTTGTAAAAGTGCCCCAAGTAACATGCGTGAATTTGCTCCGAACGACACATTTTGTTTTCATGAAACAGGGGACAGGTGCCTAGCCTCCTTGTAGAAAGGAAAAGTGAAGGAGAGTTTGATATTTTTTTTTGTTATGAAAGAAGTGCAAACCAGCTTTGTTGTAAGAAAGCTCCTTTGCTACAGTATATGCTCCCTCTGCATTTGATGGCAGCAAACCCGTGGAGGGCTCATGCATGCTAAACTTGAGGGCCTAAATTCTCAAGGGTTTAGACGCAGTCGCTTTAGAATCCATTTGCAATTCTGGACAAGGTCTTCTAGACATCCAGGATCTGTCCCCACCACCTCTGACCACTCACTTCCTAGAACCCCCCTTGCTCACACCACTCCAGCCGTATTTCTAGAACATTCTTGCTGTCTCTCAAATACACTCAGCACACTCCTATCTTTGAGCATTGGCACTTTCAAGTCCCTCTCTCTGGAAGGTTCTTCCCTGACTCCCTGCATGGCTCCCTTCCTCGCTTCTTGCAGTTTCTACTCAGATGTCACCTCCTCAGAGACACTTCCTTACCTCTGCCTGCCCCTGGCAGTTAAAACAGTGGTACCCAACCCCTGTCCGTCTGCCTGTCTGTCGCTTTCCCCCTCTCGTTCCTTTATCCTGCTTTACCTTGCTTTGTTTTTCTCCAAAGAACTTTCCACTTTCAGGTATATTGCATGCAGCTTTATTGGTTTAGCGCTTTCCCTTCCCCCAACTATTATAGACAGTAAGCCCCAGGAGGGGGTTTGTGCTGCTGTAACTCCATGGCCAAAAACAGTGCCTAGGACTTAGTAGGAGGTGTGTGGGATGGACAGACGGATGGATGGATGTGGCTAGATATGGATATCTCAATAAATCTTGACATAGTATATATATATTTACATCCTCATCTATATCTACAATAATGAAAGATGGAAGCATAGGCGGGCCTGGGCTGAGCGCTGAACCGCAAGCATATGCTTACATGCTCGCAGAAACCTTCTGAAAAAAGGAAGTATTAAAATTATTCACATTTTGACTGGGGAGAAAAACGAAAGGTAAGAGAAGTCAAGGTCACCAGGTGGCCAAGGAAGGGTATGTGGTGAGGCTTAAATGTGAACCCTCCAAAGCTGATCTGCCCAGCTCCAGAGCCGCATCTCTTAGCCACTCCAAACAGCCACCAATTCTTTCCGACAAGAAAGATAGACAGCCTCGCAGTCACCTTCCCTGGGCAGGGTGAGAAACGGGTCCCAGCCAGCAGAAAGACCCATCTGCTCAGGCCTCGCCTTGGCAGCGTGGGCCGAGGAGGCCGGCCCTCCCCTCGGTGAGTCATCCCGAGCTCCTGGCGTTTCTCCCAGAGCCGGAGAACTGGGCGGAGGGCCAGCCCCTTCTGTGCCAGGGGCCTGTGGACCTCCCCATCCGGGAGCCAGGGCCGCAGCCATGTGAGGCCCGAGGCCCAGACCTAGCCCTTCTCTCCTGGCTGGCCTGGGCCTCCAGGTGGCGAGTAGCCACCTCCATCTGCCCAAGAGCCACGTTGAAACCCACTCCTTCGGGAGCAACCATGCACTTGGCAACATTTAAAGAGCCTGTTGTGGACAAGCCAGACGCTCCCAGACACTTCACTTTGAAAGTGCAACCCAGTGATTCACAGTGATCCCGACAGTCTTCCCATCCTCGCTCAGCCCAAGCTCTCTGTTCCCAGGGACCAGCCAGCCAGAACTGTTTCAGGGGGCTGCCAGTTCAGCGCATATATTAAAAAGGCCTGTCCACAGAAGCTAATTTCTCCCACATGGGCTGGGTTATTAATCCTTTCTTTCAATATAGGAGTTCTATATGACTTCCTAAGAGAGCTCCTACACATGGCGGTTTATTAGTAGTAAAAACAGCAGCCACATTGCCTGGGAAAGCAGGTATCAGCTTTTAAGCTCTGCCTTTGATTGAGTTTGGGGGACTTGTGGCCCCAGGGATGGGTGGGGAGCCGGTAAGAGCCATCCGTCCCATTTTGCAGGTGGAAAGCCTGAGTCATCGCTACTGGACAAGCTGGCCAAAGGCTCACAGCCAGCCACGCTGGGGACTGGATGTGGCCGTGAGCTTTCAGCGCAGGGTGGGAGGCTGGCCTGGCCGGCTGCTCTGTGAATCACGATACATTGCTGTGAACACAACTTGTCTGTTTCCTAAAGCAACCTCACTGCTGCTCCCTTCAAAGCCTCACAGTTTTAAGCAACCAACTGATTGTCTCTTTGCCAAATTTGCATTTCCAACCTCTTCTCCTTACTTGAAGGAAAATTATCTTTTTTAATGAAGCTTTAAAGAGAACCTGAGTCCAGTCCGGCTTCCTTTAAAGTTTTTATCTGTACCCCACCCAGTCTTGCAACTCAAAGTGTGGGCCGTAAGTGCCAGCATCACTGGGAGCTGGTTAGAAATGCAGAAATAGGCCCCGTCTCAGACCTATTAAACCCAAACCTGCAGCTTAGCAAGCAGTCCAAGTGACTCTCGTGTACTACCAAGTTTGAGAAGCAATGCCCAGCTCTGGCTGCACATTGGACTCAGCTGGGGAGTTTAAAAAATGCTGACCCCCCCCCCCAGGCCCTAATTCTAGAGCAGAGTTTCTCTACCCGGGCACCACTGCCATTTGGGCTGGATCCTTCTCTGTTGGGGGGACGTCCTGTGCATCATCAGATGTTTTGCAGCATCTCCGGCTTCAACCCATTAGATGCTAGTAGCAACCCTCCCTGGGGACAACTATAATTGCCTCTAGACATAGGTGGATGTCCCCCAGGGAGGAGGCAGCCGAAATCATCCCTGGTTGAGAACCACTGTTCTAGAGACTCTGGCTTCCGTGGTCTGAGGCAAAGACCCCAGCATAATTTTTTTTCTAAACAATCCTTACTGGTTCCACTAGGCCACCCCAGGTTTGATCTGAATGCCATCCCAGCAGGATATGCAGGACCCAAGAAGCCACAGGAGAATTCCTGGTTTACTGCTGCTTGAGCTCTGGGGTCAGAAAGCCATGGTTTCGAGTCCTGCCTCTGCCACTTCCCTGCTGTGTGACCCCGGGCAAGGCATTTCATCTCTCTGAGTCACAGATGCCTTCTCTGTAAAATCCTAACAGGTTGTCAGAAGGGAGGGGGTGGGGGTGTGAGGGGAAAAGTTGAAGGGGAATAAGAGGTAAAAACCTCCAGTCATTAAAAAAAAAAGTTACAGGGATATAATGTACAACAGAGGAAAAGCAATCAATAATATTATTTATATAGTGACGGATGGTTACTAGACCTACCGTGGTGATCACATCGTAAAGAATATAAACGTCGAATCACTATGTTGTACACTTGATGCTAATATAATATTGTATGTCAACTATACTTTAAAAAGAGAGAAAATAGTAATAATGGAAGGCAAAACATAGTAGAATAATATTTTCATTGTGCTTAAGAAAAATGATGATCAATTGTGGAGCCAGACAAAATACTTTTGGAGAATGAGTATAAAATAAAGATATCATATAGAAAAGAAAAAAAAAATCCTAACAGTGCTTGTTTTCTTGGGTGTGCTGCAAGCAGTACAGGAGATGCTGCATGTGAACACGTGGACAACGTCAGCACATGTTTAGTAAAACACCTAACATTAATAACGCAGATGTCGTCAGTGCATGAATGTGGTCTCTCATCAATATGACTCAGCCGTAACGGGGGCAAAGCGCTGCTCTCACTACAACGTGATGAGCCTTGAAAGCACGACGCTGAGTGGCAGAAGCCATACACACAAGGACATGTATTATATGACCCCATTTATAAGAAATGTGCAGAAAAGGCAAATCCATGGAGACAGAAAGCAGGCTGGTAGTTGCCAGGGGCTGAGGAGTGCCGGCTAATGGCATGGGGTTTCTCTTTGGGGTGATGAAAAAGTCCTGGAGCTAGACAGTGGTGGCAGCTGCACATTGTGAATGTACTTAATGCCAGAGAATTGTACACTTCAAAATGATGGAAATGGTAAATTTTGTGTTACACGTATTTACAATTAAAAAATATATATATATAGGGCCTGCCAAGTGGCGCGTTGGTTAAGAACTGGCTTGGGATGCCAGCTCTGAGCAGCAGGGCCCCGGTTTGGATCCCACATGGGGGCCAGTGACACTGAGCCCTCTACAGCTAAGATGATGAACAACAGCTCAACCTGGAGCTGGGCTGCTATGAGTCGC